ATGTCAGATCCTTTATTCAATTCTAAGTAAATCAATTTACAGTGGTTCTGTCTTATCAGCGGTTGTGATTGCTGCAGTTTCAATTATCTGCGGTCATGTCCAAAAATAAACAAATCATAAGTTGATCTAATATTGGTCCCAAAGCGAAGAACAAATATAAAAAGAATACCTGTACAGAATCTCACATAGACAAATAACGGCAGAAATTTAAATAGCACTTGTGTCGAGGCACAGATGAAACCAATAAACATATTAACTGAGAATGTAGCCAATAGATTTAAAAAAGGCGGAAATACATAACATACAAATCACAGATATATGAACAAACCAAGAAAAACCGCCATCAGCTTCTTGCTCTTCCTCTGTCTCTTCTACTTCTTCGTCGTCGTCTTCTTCCTCCTTCTCCTCCTCTTCATCTTCTTCCTCATCCTCCCTCTCTTTTTCCTCTACTTCTTCCACCTCCACCTCTTCTTTTTCATCCCATCCTCCTCTTCTACAACTTCATGATTTTTTCTTTCTCTTCCTTTCTCATCATCCTCTTCTTCTACCTTCTCCTCCTCTTCATCATCATCTTCCTCCCACTCCTTCCTCTTTTCATCTTCTCTTCTTCCTCCTTTTTTTCCCTCTTTTCGTTTCTTCCTTCTTTTCTTCACCTTCTTCTTCCTTATCAACTTCTAATTCTTTCTCCTTTTTCTTCCTCCTCTTCTTCATCATCCTTCTCTTCTTCTTCTTCTTTTTCTTCTTCTCCTCCTTTTAATCATCTTCTTCCATCTCCTCCTTATTTTTGTCGTCCTCCTTTCTCTTTTCACCTCCTCCTCTTCTTCCTCCTTATTTTTCCTCTTTTCCCCTCTCCTCCTTCCTTTCTAAATCTTCCTCTTCTAATTCTTTCTCCTTCTTTTTCTAGCTCCTCCTCCTGCTCCTCTTCTTCCTTTTTTTCTTTTTCTTCTCACTCTTCTTCTCACCGCTTCATCATCTTCTTCTTCTTTGATCGAAAAGGATCGTCTTCGAAAATTGAAAAAGGTTCTTCGTTAGATAAAAATTCTCCCGTAAGCAAGTGAAATAGATATTCTCCAGGAAGAAGAAAAAAAAAAAGAATCAGTTAAATAGTGAAAATTTCTAGGCACAGAGCTGTCAAAATGTGGCATGTCAAGATTTATTACTTTTGTTTTCATGGTAAATAAAAGCAAGACACGCGCCGAACCATTTGGAATTCGACTGAAGAAGACGCACAACGCATCAAAATGGCGCATTTAGACAAGCCAGTGGTCGACATTTGATATTTTGATCAATATAAAAGCGTCGACCCCCGACTCGTAGACACTGGGTGAAACATGCCCCGAATCAGCACCTTGAGGAACTCGAAGTTTACCTAACTCGAAAAGTGAACGCTTTCAACTGACAGTTTGGATGACTGTTTGCCAAACCTTTTTTTCGGGATCTATAAAGACGAAGAAATTACAGCCTTATTACCAAAAGAAAAAAAAAAACAAAAAAACAAAACAAAAGAGGACGATATAGTTTCGTGTAAGAAGTGCTTACACAGATAGAAAGAGATAAAAAAAGAAACTTTTTTTTTTCAGAAGAAGGGGAGAAATAAGAAGTTATATATTAATAAGCAACACTACTTGACATTTTAAACTGATAGGTCAACTATTCACTCTCTTGTCTCCCAGCGCAGTTGGTTAAATCGAAAATAAAAATTACTAGTCTAAATAAAATATAATAAAATTTACCCTTTACAGAGAAACAATCCTGAGAGAGTTAGATGTTCAACCAGGATTCATTGTTGGTGGCCACAATCTTAACATTAGATATATAGATGCCACAGTGCTGATAGCAAACACAGACAGGAAACTACAGGGATTTGTACAGAGGGTAATAAAGAAAAACAAGAAGAAAATACACATTTTAAAGAGAAGTAATGTATGGTTGTTAGCAAAAGAAACAGCCCAACATACACATTACAAAATGTAGATACCAAAATTAAAACAAGGGCAAAAAATACCTGGGATGTGTTTAAACAGATGATGGCAAATGCGATACCAAAATCCGAAGGTTTATTGGGATAGCGAAAGATGCTTTCCAAAAGCTAAGCAAAATATTAAGAAACAGGAAAGTTTCACTGGCAATAACGAAAAGAGCACTGAACTGTTATGTAATATCCGTCCTCCCATATGGCAGTGAATGTTGGACCATCTCATCACAGATAGAAACCTGAGACAACAGAATTGTGGTTCTACAGAAGGATTCTGAGAATGAGATCAACTAAACGCGTGAGCAATGACGAAGTTTTAAAGCAAATGTTAGCAAAAGGACATTTATTGTCAGAAAAGAGACAGCTGAAATCTCTAGGGCACCAAATGAAGAAAGAAGGCTTGGAAAATTTGACACTCACAGGAAACCTTGAAGGCCAGTGAGACAGAGGAAAGCAGCACATAAACTATCTAACGAGTTTATGTAAATGACTGGCAGAGCAGGGATTAGGGGATATAGCAAAAAAGATATAATTTACTAAGAGCTACGAAAAACAGGAAGTTGTGGAGAGTCATGATCGTCTAGCCCCAAAAGGATATGTTGCAAAGGAAAAAAAGAAGAATTCCTAATCCTAATAGGATCGCTCATGTTACCTTGCTTTGAACGTATATTGTTTTGAAGTTTGGTAATTACGGTTTGGTTTGATTTGTTTTACGGCATATCAACACTTCAATGGGTTATTTAATGCCAACAATTTTTATTGCTGGTAATATCTTTTTTTTCAAAAATGTATTGATGGTAATATTTTTTCCTTCAAAAAATCTATGTCTGGTAATATTTTCTTTCTTCAAAAATCTATTTTTGAGAATATTTTTCCTTCAAAAATGTATAGCTGGTAATTTTTTAAAAATGTGTAGCTGGTAATCTTTTTTCAAAAATGTATTGCTGGTAATAATGTATTGCAGCTGGTAATAATTTTTTCTTAAAAAATTTATTGCTTTACAAAGTATTTCTAGTATTAAAACCTATTTTCACACTTTCATAGGGTTTTGATCGCACTTTGGGGGTTAACTATTTGCCCATAGCTGGTACCCTAACAGGTGCTACTACTCCGGGTCAGGGTGTACCTGGGAACACCAGCAATTAAGAGGCGGTTCCACACTCCTCAAAACACCCAGATCAGAGTCTTTGCTATTGGACATAGTTTATCGTCTTACCCAGGACGTGAATGTAGTTTATCGTCATACCCAGGACGATGGTATTTACGTATCCCAATAAATGCTCATTATTATAAATACTAATTTGGCTGTCTTGTCATTTTATACAATGGGTATAGGTTGTACAGAACGACCAACAGCTACGAGTACACTCGTTTTATTACGGGCAACTCGAGGCGGTGTAATGGTTAGCAAGCTTGTCTCGCGAGAACAATTACGACTGAGTAGTGAATTCGATCCTCACTGGGTGCCGCCCCTACTTTCGGCTTTGTGCCGCATCCAAACTATGCTTGGAAGGTCATCACTCGTTTTACTAATGTCATCATCATCATCATCATCAAACTTTGGTCAACGAAGAGAGAAGGATTGGTTATCATCAACTGCGTCTACGATCATCAACTACATTACCGGAGAACATGTGAAAACATTCCTTTTTTTGTGACGTAACGTTAATTATCTAAACCTTACCTCAGAACTAAATAAATCATGGTCCATGAAGGTAGCAATATATTTTTGTAAAAAACTATAACCAGCAATGAATTTTTTGAAGGAAAAAAATATTACCAGCAATACATTTTTGAACAAAAGTATTGCCAACAATAAAAATCTTGTCGGTATTAAATAACCCACTGAGGTTGATATGCCGTAAACCAAACTAAACCAAACCAAACCAAACCAAACCAAACGAATTGTCTTAAATTATATATAGATTGTCCTGAATACTTTCCTCACATTATTATTATTATTATTGTTGTTGTTGTTATTATTATTATTATTATTCACAGTCTTTTCTTTTTCTCTTTCGTAAATTTTCTTCTTTCTATTTTTCTGATTATTCTCTACTTCCTAATACGCCTGTTTCTCCCACTCTTTGTTTCTGTTATTCTTTTTATTTCTTAGTCCTCTCCCACCTTCTCTATTCTCCTTCTCCTCCATCCCGTCTATTATTTTTCTCTTTTGACGTCTTCTGTCCCGCTCGAACCCCCGCTCTCTCATTCATTCTCTTATTTCTCTATTTTTACTCATTCCATCTCACCCCGCACTCATATTTTCCTTTTTACCTGGCTGCTTCCGTCAGACAATGGTAAACACGATACAGCTGTCTCGTCGACCTTTCCTACTATTTTTAACATTGCGGGGAAAAAAAAGAAAAAAGAAAAGAAAAAAAGAAACAGAAAGAAAAATTAAAGAAAATACCGTTAATATTTTGACATTTTCTATCTTTTGAATAAGATTAAAAAAACTGACTATGGTGGATCCTAGTTTTATGAGAGATAAAAATGTATCATTACTAATTCATAAGTTCTGATGTTTGACTAATAAAACATTTATGGAAAACATCGTTATCGTTATTCGGTAAAGCCGCTTTGTATCTGTGCCAATCCATCATTCTGATTTCTTCTGTCATTTAATATTATCATTATCATTATTTGTACTTCTTGATTTTTTCCACTCAAATACTATCTCATCCAGAATCAAATACACAGGAGAAGGTAGAAATGAAAGAGGAGCTAGACTAATATTAGATAAAGACAAATGAAATTGTGTTTTGGGCTACTGTCAACTGTTAAAGATTTTCTGGTTAAATTGAACATGAAGTAATTTATTATGGTCATAATAGCGGTGTAAACATCCACGCCAGAAACACTTAGTAAGAAATAGATAAATATTACGACACACTCTAAATAACATAGCAAGTCACAAGAAATTATTATTAAATGTAAAAGTAGGAAGAGTAAAAGATAGTGAAATGATCTCTAAGTATGGACTTGGATTGCGTAATGCCCGCTTAAAAATGTTTCGTGGTACTCAGCGACTGCTCAAGTGATTGCCAATATTTAATTTGAAGAACCCCCTTGACACTTGTGGCCGTTAAAAAGGCCAGAAGGAGATATAGAATACCTAACTATCAAGGAATGGCTTATAGAAATATAGTTTTGCACTTTGACAATAGCCAAGATGTCTGGTTTGGTGTCCTGTTTCGTTGTTGAAATCAGGCAAGATCTTGGTTTGCTCCTCTGGCTTGTAGCGGCAACATTTCCCATCAACTTCTGGTGTATGCCTCCTACACAGATGATGGGCCACTTTATGGCGATGCTTATATTCTTTCTGCCCAAGCAATCCAAAAACTCTCATGATGTGGTGACATTTTCCACCCCTTTGACACAGCCTGCCGAATCCAAAACAGAATTAGTATTCAGAGCTTTAACTTTGACCAGCTCAACTTTTTTCTTCCTTCCTTCCTTCCTTCCTTCCTTCCTTCCTTCCTTCCTTTCTTCCTGTTCTTCTTCTTCTTCTTCTTCTTCTTCTTTTTCTAATAATAATAATAATAATAATAATAATAATAATAATAATATAAACATAGATATAACAAGGTAGATACATATGTGCACTGGAAGATATGCAAGAAGCACAAAATCGAAACCACTGAGAGATGGTATGAGCACCAACCAGACACAGTTACCCAAAATAACGATGTAACTATACTCTGGGACATGCAAATTCAAAATGACAGGGAAATAAAAGCCAACAGATCTGATATTATCATAAAAGATAAGAAATTCAAGAAGTGTGTGCTTATTGACATAGCAGTACCATCTTAGAGAAATACCTCCATGAAAATTATCGAGAAATTGTCCAAGTACAAGGACCTGGAGATCGAGGTTAACATAATCCAAGGAATGAATACTGAGACTGTACCAATAGTAATCGGAGCTCTAGACCTCTTGAGAAAAGGAATGGACAATTTTACTAACTTTGTCCCACGTCACATCAATATACAGTTGTCCAGAAATAAGATCGCCTTACTAAGAACATCCCATATACTAAGAAAGGTGCTATCGATTAAATGATAATTCTTCTATAGGACCTAAGGACCATAGTTTAGACCCGGCTCTACGGGATCAGTCAGTTATTTGTGATACACTTTTAGGCCATCATGTATCTTTCGATACATGATTGACAAAGAAGATTTTTCCCGCAGTAGGTTGCCATTTTTTTTCTGCCGTAGACCAGTTGCCATCCAAGACTATAGAACCCGGTCTGTTCTGCTATTTACCCATAGCTGGGGGGAGAAAGAAGAGAATACATACCTTTCCCATTTTTCTCCTAGAAATGGATTGCCATTCGGTAAGGCGTTGTTCATATTTGATAAAGGCAGAATACGAGTTAAAATCTCGTTAAAGATTAATTGTTCGTTTCTAATCAACACTGTTTATTTAACGGAATTTTACAATGATGCGTTCAGCCTGCACAAGACCAAAGAGCCACTCGAGGGAGAAGGTTACAGAGTAAGCGGCACACTTTATAAACCCGGTTATAACAATTAGTCAGTTATACGCCATGTGTGATACACGCTTAGGCGATCATGTATCTTTTGATATATGACTGACGATGAAGATTTTTCCGCAGTAGGTTGCCATTTCTGTCTGCGGTAGACCCGTTGTCATCAAGGGTATAGAACACGGTCTGTCCTGCTATTTACCCATAGCTTGGAGGGGGAGAAGAAGAGGATTCTTACCTTTTCCATTGGTATTATCACGTAAATGAATGTAATGGATTCAACTGGTATTCGAACTCTGCAGGATACAAAGCATGATGCGTAACATACACAAATGATAATAATAATGATATTTTCTTCTTCTGAATGATTTTTCGTTTTCAACCCGGGATCTTACATGGTGGGTGTTCCCAATTCATATGACTTCAGACAGATAGCGCTTTCCGCAGAATATACAGAGTTCTAAACAACATTAACTTCTAGGATACGAAGTTTTATTCCACTTTTCTCAATGTATAACATTAAGTTCGGCTGTATAGGCTCCAGCACTACCAACACTAGATGGATTGTTTTCCAAGACTCACATCATAGATATCATAACAAAACTAGCAGGCTCAACGTGTGCCTGGACGCTAACCGGTTCCGCGTTAATTATTTATACATCATTGCGCTAATAATAATAATAATAATAATAATAATAATAATAATAATAATTATTATTATTATTATTATTATTATTTCCTTTGATTTTTGAGTATACTCATTTCTTTCTGGGTCTCAACCAGAGACCTATGCTCAGAAAGAAATGGTATCATGACATTTCCGACAGATCATCTAAAAAAAACAAAAAACAAAATCACACACATTTTTATAGATAAAGCTGTTAGATAATGGCTTCATGACGTTTTCCACTGATCATTTTTGTAAAAATAATATCCCTAACATCAGACACATTTTACATAGAAAAAGCTCTTCGCAATGTCTGAGTTGTATTTGTGAGTACTGAGTGTTTCTTTAAGGCATGTGCTACAAGGAATCCCTTCAATGAGTCTATCGGAACTTTTTCCAATCAATCTGAGTGTTCCAAATTCAACTAGAATTATTGATGTCCTCATGTGTCACATTTTTTAGATTTTCATTGTATATTGTAAAGTCTCATAAAATTGTTACAGGTCCTATATCTGTAACCAAGTCTGGGTGATGTTCATACAAGTTTCTCGCAGTTACCTTCCCATAAAAGTTGCATATTTTCCAGCGCAGATATTGGCCCACTCTATCATGCCGAGTTTTATATTCAGTGGGTGCTAACACCGTGCAACCTGATACAAGATGGTCAATTGTTCCTGGATATTTACCACATAATCTGCAATTTGGGTGAATACAATATTTCAGTAAATGCTTGGTAATTTCTAGTTATTAAGCATTGGTCCTGTGCAGCAAGAATAAAACCTTCGGTTTCAACTTTTAACCCAGAACTACGTAACCGCTGATGGGTACCGTTTTTTTTCTACTTCAGCTTGTTTGTTACGGGCAGAATATTGACCAATAAGAGGCTTATGTAGCCATCGTTTCTGCATTTGATCCATTGCATTTGCTTTTGCTTTCTTTTTTAGTTTTTTTTTATCGCTGCAGTAGGTTTTAATATTTGTACTTCTTCACTCACTTGAAATTCCCAAAATTTGTTGGCTTCCTTTATTACTGAATAAAGTCTCTTATTTCTTTCATGTTCTTTTGTCACAGATCATCATCCATTTTTTTTTGTCGTTTCCGGTTATCTTTGAAAACCGATTGTTGTAGTTTTGTAAGAACAGACAGTCAACATCAACCTTGATGCATGCGGTGGCAAGTGAGAAACTTTATCGTTTTGAAATCTTTTATTTATGGCTGATATTATGTTTTGTGAATTCAACTCGGTATTTAACAACCAGACGCACACGTCTGTGATATTTTTTCTTAATTTCTCCTTCGTTTGTGTATGCTGTATTCCATATATTTCACTGACTACTAGTTATTTATAGGCTTTTTCTTGTTCTAGTTCCCTAATCTTTGTGACAAAATCTACATTTATTGAATGTGTTTCTGTAATTAATATTAATATTATTATTATTATTTCTCGTTCTTCTGGCAGTTCTTATTGTTTTCGGTCGTGTTAATTTACGCAGAAATTATATTCCACTAATCAATCAATTTTTATAGCTCCTCAATATTTGTTAATCATTTTCTTTCTTTTTTAAAAATGCCAATAATGGTGTGAATATTTTGACAAAATGGAAACAAATAAATGTCCGCCATCATTTTAGAGTGTCTAGGTATTTTTTTTTATTTTTTTATTTTCGACTTTCCATTGAAAATGTCAAAATCAAGTCGCAAGGACTATGAATGCCGGGAAAATCGGAAATAAGGCAGGAAGGAGAGAAATTTGAGAAAGAAAATCCCAGGAAACAGAAGAATAAATGAAACAGAAAGAAGGAAAGAAAAACAACACTATTTCGTTGTTAGTTTTAAAGCAAAAATACAAGTACATTTTGAATAACTGAATATTTTTTTTCTTTTCAGAAAAAAACGTTGAGACAGCAATCCAAAGACGCTAAAGAAAATGTCATCAGTTCTGTTGTTTTTCTTTTATTCCTTTTTCGTTCATTTTCGCCAAAAGGCGGAAAAGTCATTAAAAGAGAGAAGGATGGCGAAAGAAAGTGAGAGGGAGAAAGAATGACAAAGAAAGAAAAGAGAGAGAGATATATATATATATATATATATAATATATATATATATATATATATATATATATATATATGAGTGAGAGTGAATGAGAAATGAGAGATATAGAGAGAATAAGATTGAGAAAGAGAGAGATATAGAGAGAATGGAAGAGAAAAAGAGAGATTGAGAGCGAGAGAAAGAAGCAGACAAAGAAGGAGAAAGGAAAAGCCAGAGAGATATAGAGAGAGTGAGAGTGATAAAAAGAGATATAGAGATAGAATAAGAGAGAAAGAGTGCTAGTAGAGCAAGAGATAGATAGATAGATAGATAGATAGATAGATAGATAGATAGATAGATATAGACTGAGTGTGAGAGAAAGAGAGAGTGAGGGAGACAGAGAGATAATGAGAGAAAGAGGCAGAGAAAGAGATTGAGAGAGAGTGAGAAAGAGAGCGATACAGAGAGAGAGAGAGAAATATATATATAGAGAGAGAAAGAGGTAGATAAAGAGAGAGTGAGTGTGAGAGTGAGAGCGAGAGAAAGAGAGAGAGACACTGAGGCAAAGAGTGGGAGATAACGATAACAGCGAAAAGGGAAAAAGTGAGAGAAAAACAGGGAGCAGAAAAGCTAATGAGAGAATATATATGAAGGCAATAGCAATTAACAGGAAAAGCTAGAGGAAGAAAGGCAAATAAATGACAAGACGAAAAAAAGAAAAAGGAAAAAAAAGAAGGAACGAAAGAAAGAAATAAAACGCAAAAAAAAAAAAAAAATACCGTGTATACTCCAGTAGAGGGCGAGGTTGTATGGACAGCATTTTAAGCAAAAAATAGATGGTCGCACCAAATAAGGGTAAGTTTTTTGAAGCGGTAAAAAAATCATCCATTTTCCGTCACCGGTTGCACAGGTAATTTTTTTTTTTTTTGGAGGCGTTAAAATTCATGCAAAACAAATCAGTGATCGCACTATATATGAAGTCGACTTATACACGAGTATATACGATATATGTATAAAAAATAACGAAAAGGATTGAGAAAAAACGGAAAACAGAAGGAATAAAACGTCATAAAAAAGAACAAAATGGAAGTTTTCGTGGTGTCCATAACAAAGGATTGTATCTGGTCATAGGATGACCGTCAAAAACGAATATAAACACGTATAGAGACTAAATTCCTCTTAAATGTTCGAATTCAACAGTTTAATATATATATATATATATATATATATATATATATATATATATATATACCTTAAGAATAAAAAAAGAAAAATGTCAACACTTAATGTTAACTACGAACACGGCCAAAATGGGATAACTGTGTTCGGAAAATAAAACAT